CAGAAAGTGATAACAACTGATAAGGGCTGATAAAAGGCGCTAGAACGCAAGTGTCGCGAAATTCATAGTGCGCTTCGCAGCAGTCGTCAGGAGTTGATTTTGGGGCATGATATAGGGGGTGGGACGGGAACATACTTGGTGAGGTTCAGAAAGTGATAACAACTGATAAGGGCTGATAAAAGGCGCTAGAACGCAAGTGTCGCGAAATTCATAGTGCGCTTCGCAGCAGTCGTCAGGAGCTGATTTTGGGGCATGATATAGGGGGTGGGACGGGAACATACTTGGTGGGGTACAGAAAGTGATAACGACTGATAAGGGCTGATAAAAGGCGCTAGAACGCAAGTGTCGCGAAATTCATAGTGCGCTTCGCAGCAGTCGTCAGGAGCTGATTTTGGGGCATGATATAGGGGGTGGGACGGGAACATATTTGGTGGGGGTCACAAAGTGATAACGACTGATAAGAGTAGATACGAGGCGCTGACATACAAATTTCACGAAATTCATGTTGCGCTTCGCAGCAGTGTTCAGAGGAGCTGATTTCTGGGGCATGATATAGGGGGTGGGACGGGAACATACTTGGTGGGGTACAGAAAGTGATAACAACTGATAAGGGCTGATAAAAGGCGCTAGAACGCAAGTGTCGCGAAATTCATAGTGCGCTTCGCAGCAGTCGTCAGGAGCTGATTTTGGGACATGATATAGGGGGTGGGACGCAAACATATTTGGTGGGGGTCAAAAGTGATAACGACTGATGACGACTGATATAACGACATGCGTACGAACGTAGAGAGCACTTGAAATAGAGAATAGAGAGCAGATTGTAGATAATGCCTTTTATTTCAATATCATTTCATCAGCGTTGTAATTGTAAACTCAAGCACCTTTCGACCGCTACACCTTCTAGAGTTCTTGAGGATGAATGGGATGCTCGAATAAATATGATAATGAATACTAGGCATTCCGTTTTGAGATATTCGACCGCTAAATTACCTCGATACTCGACGCATAGTGGTTGTTTACATCATCACTTTAGCTGTGCACTTCACTGCGCTTATCAAACAGTGAGATACAGCCAAGATGGCAGCCTATGCAACGGACAGTAATACATTTAACGAAGCAGCTATAATTTAGCGGTGAAACCTAAAGCTTCATCGATTGTCAGTTCTATCAATGCGCGCGGTAGCGGGCGGAGCTAAACTGGTGTTAATATGTATGCTAGAATATTAATGTGCATAGCAATGCTGGTCAGGTGAATGACGCATGCAACAATTTACTCTAAAGTAGCTCTCATGGAACTTTGTGCAAACCATTTGAACACAGGTATCCCCAGTATTGCTAGGTATTGCTTGTAATGACTGCGATGTCAGAATTTTTGTTAATGAAGAAAGTATAGGTATTTAGTGCAAAGAAGAAAATCAGCGGTGAGGACCATCTTTGAGGCTATCACGTCCATGCGGGGGCAGAATGCGACCTACGCGGTTTGGTTGTCGCTTACTGACAAGGTATTAAAAGTTACGTATGTAACGCTTTTGTTTAAATAAGTGCCATGACTTTTAAGTGTGAAGAAACGCCCAGCTCTACTTAAAGGCACAACCCAGGTAGAGGTCGCTTTACGCTTCACTGTAGTATTGACTCTAGAGGAACAACACACATGTGGCTTCTCGGCAACTGACAAAAGCACTTGACTCTTACGAAGTTAAGCTGTCAAGTGCACGTTTTTTTTTCTATCAGGCTGTTGTCTGGCGCTCTCTCGTTGGCGCACGTCTCCTCTCTCTTCCCTTAGCGCAGCCGACTGGAAGCGGTGGAGGCGCGCTCCTTCATACCTAATGACCGCGTCATTTCTCGCGTCCATCGCTTGGTCCGTCGCGCGACTATGACGTTGGTCTAGCAGTTTCGACGGAGTTCGGTTTATCGTTTTTTATTTACGTCAGCCCATTTGTACACTAATACCTTCACATTGGTGTGCTCAGGTTTACACCAATGTGATCTGGGCAATGGTTTGAGACAAGAAATCACAAAGTCAAATTGGAGATATTGCAAAATGCTTTAATCACATGTTAATCCATGTATATATTCATGTATGCATTGATGTGGTCGAAAAAGGAAATCACGAATGCAGATAAGAGATAAACCTTAGTAGAATGGTCGTGTTACAGCAAGATGACCTAACGACTAGGCATGGAAAAGTGGGCAAACGTTTCAATTTCAGTTTAAAAACGCCAACCAACTACCGCTGTCGATTTGCATACTTCTCTCCGACAAAAAATGAAAGGAAATCACAAAAAGTACAAAGTGGATCTACATAGGTTATTTGGTGAATAAAACTATGTCAACTACTCTGCTTTTCATGAATATATTCCCTATATCAAAGAACCGGACCAATAACAATATTTCAACTTGAAAATGTATGTAGAGCAGATAGATAGATATAAGCAGTGTAGATATTGAGCAAGAATAACAACATGAATAACAATGATATCCGAATAGAACCTATATTATAAACAAGAAATAAGAAATAATCTACATTATGGAGTAACAGCGATTATATTATGCCAATCATGAAATTGTGCAAGCAGTAAATTTTGAAAGACAACTAAGTTTCAGTCGGCGTCTAGAGCTGCCATTCTTAAGATCTGCTCGCATACCTTCTTATATAAGAAGGCGTCACCACATAACCGCTTCCTTCGGATTCCAATCTATAATAAAATAGTCACACTGTGTTACACACTTACCAACTACGATGAAAATGTGTCTTCAAAAAGAGTTTCGCTTTATTTCAATCGGATCGCCAGAAGGAGTAATCTTGAATAAGTCTGAGAAAGTTTGAGCGGAAACACCGCTTTGTGGATTCCCATCCCCAATCCTCTCATGGCACGTGGTCTCAAGGTAGAAATCTTGAAAAGGAATCAATTCCATGAGGCTCTGTCCATGTGGAATTCTTTGTGAATTGCCAATTGATCAACATCTTGCCCAGGTAGGGGATCTGCTTGACCATTGGTTAACCTATTCTACAGAATCGTGCCGGCGGTAAAAACTATGCTAGGTACATCAAAGGAAGCCGAGAGTCAGCGCGGGAACCTAGTGGTGTAAAGCATAAAGTACTGCTCGGATGACATAGTAGCAGGTTCGAGTGCCGTCCAGACTCATCACCTTTTGCAACAATACTACACGACACATCAAATGGAATGATGCCACGTGAATAAGCATGAAATGAATGAGAAATAAACTCACCTTCCCCATATTCTCTACAACAACCACCTCCAATTCAACCGTGAGCGAATGGCCAGCTTTATCCTTTTGTTTTCCAGATATTTTCCATCTGGAATATCACTTTCGAATTGAATATGAAAGAGAGTAGCCAGAAGAGACTCACCCATTAACTTCGTATTTGATTGTCTGTTGTTCAAATACTTTGACGAGCTCCTGTTTTACTCTTTCCGGATCTGTTGAGTTCGTTACCGAGACATTAATCATTCCCTATGATGGAAGAAAACTCCGATATTCAACACAAAATAGATTACTAATCTCTACAAAAAATGTTTACCTCCACGGTTTTCAATACTTGTGGTGAGTCAGTCCTCAGCTTCCGAGGTGTAAGTAGATTGATTACACGATCCGCTTTACGCTCCAACGACGCGAACACCTGAGATATTTCCAATGAAACAGACTATAGGCAAAAACTCGTGTAAGTACCGGAATCGTGGAAGAACTAATCTAAGTGATGAAAGAGAATGGGCAGGGAGAAAGGAAACAATAGTGGACATAAGAACAGCGGAGAGATTGGTTAACTTAGTGATTATGTCAACTTAGTTTACTCAGCAAGATCAAATACACGATACTTCCACCAACTAATTGCTGCGATATACCTTGCAAAGCTAGACAACAAAAACGAGCGAAAAATGTAAAACAAAAGCTTAAAAATTAGAAGTAATCAAAACTGCTAACAACGAACCCGTTGTTTGAGTCTCGGTGTCTTCGTGGTCGACCTCGGATGCCGAGTTGAGTCGGTCGGTGCGTTACCACCAGAATAAGCAGGTGATTCTGCACCACTTCGTTCTGTCGAGCGAGCTCTGAATATTTCGTTCACAAGAGGCGCCAATATAGTTTTTAAACTGATGTCATTCATTTGGAGGTTTCTAAAAGTCTCAAACCTCTGTCGTGATCCAGCCGGGCTGAACAGGCCTTTCAATGCAGGCCTTTGCGGAGTTGTGTATATACTTCTTGGTCGTGTACCGCGCTCATCTTAGAAGAGTAATAGAAGTAAGAAAATTGCATAATACTACCAGATTGTGTTATTTTGAGGAATCAAAAAATTACCAATAATTTTAATTTTTCCGGTCCACGAACACGAACACTTGCAGCTCCAGTTTTGTAATTCTCCTTTTCACTACTGGCTTCATACTTAACACTTGGCTAAAAAATGTTCTTATGTTCGGATAACAATAAAACCGAAGTATAGTAAAGAAAATGTTCAAAAATTTGACTACCTTTGCACGTATGGACGTCTTCTGTACAGGCCTGTATGGCGTTGAACCATTTGCTGCTGGAGAATCGTATAACCTCTGCTGGGGAGATCGTCCGGTGCATATAGTGGGCGTGTTCAAGATGGCGTTGATATAGGAGGACTTCTAAAAAAGTTTTTATGTTCCGGATCAACCCGAAAGTGCAGTTCATGTGCACCTATCAATGCTACAGCCATTATATTTGCAACAATTGCTTCCCTTCCATTTGCCATGGACCTTCGTTATTTGCAGACTTGCAGATATTTTGAAACGAGCTGATCAATAAATTTGACCCTGACCCTTTATCTATCTGATTACGTCTGTTTACCGTCGTTGAGACCAACACAGAATGAAGAATACAAACCATTCGAATTACTGTAATTGAAGATGGTCGTAATAACTTCGTATAGTGTGACAGGGGGGGGGGGGGGGGGGGGGGGGGGGGGGGGGGGGGGGTGGGGGGGGGGGGGGGGGTTTTAACAAATAAGAAATTGATCGGCAAAACTAATGGTGGAGAGAGCAGCCGTTTCGCATCACAAATACGTTATGAAACAATCATCAAAGGATGAAAGAGGAGGAGAAGCAAGAAAACATAAGGAATGTACCAAGCAACAACTTCACAGATACAAATCCACTAAGCAAAAGCATACGTCAAACAGGTTCCAGGGCACGACAAGATGTAACCTGGTAAAGAGATAAGAACAAATGTTCCAGTTGTCCAAAGTCCTATTAAACAGCTTAAGAAAAAAAAAAAAAACATTAGAGGTCAGCATCGGCATAAATTAACCTTTTGGATGCGCCATGTACTTTATTTTGTTTCAGAATCGTAGTGGCACGGTATGCGGCCTGCCTCGGAAAACGACTTACGGGGCTAACCGAAATACAAGAGATCATCCCGGGCGAGCTGGTATCACTGTGGTGACCTTGGAGCGGTATTCAATCCTTCCCCCAGGGGGACGTATCCCCCTCCTCTGATTCAATCCTCTGGGGGGACAAAAAAGGGTTGCGTCATGTACCTAGATTTCATCCTTGACCGCGCACGTAAGTGGCACCACTGTCGCTACACCTCCTGCCTTTTTCACTGAGTCTAGGAAAAAAAAATCTAAAACCTACGTCAAGCTCCCCTGCACGGCGCCTTCTCCCGTTCTTTGTCTCTGCCTCGCTCACGATCGTTATGTCTCCAAAGGGGTTCGTACTGCTCACTAATACTGCTGCCAGATCGGAAAGCTTTTTGGAGAAAAGTCTACGGTCAGGGATCTGGTCGTCGAGACCAGACAAGTCGAGGTTATGCTCCAACGAGGCATGTATTGTCGGAGACGCCACTACTTGTGACTCTCCCTGAAAAATAATAATTCCAACTTCGTTTATATAGGAGACTACTTTAGATCGGCAACTTTTTGTCTTACAGGCTTTGCTCTAGGCAAGGAAGGGAGAGCGATCTCCTTTTGGCGCCCTTCTGTGCAAGAGTAAGATAGTATGTCGCAGTCAGATAGTCGAATTTCCATTCCTAAACCATATAACTAATAGTTTCTTCTAAGTACAAATTAATTTGTTAGTTGAGCTACATTGCAACAATTCCACATTATGAAACATACAAGGATGTACTTCAGAAATGCTGTAAGCATAAGAAACGCTAAAAGAGCGTCTGGATAAAACGAGAACAATATCAATATTGAAGGAAAGGCTTTCGAACCTTAATCAAGAGCGATCATTTCGGGTTAAAGACTTTCTGTGGTGGAATGCCAACTCAGTTGCTACTCTTCATCAACCACATTTTTCTGAAACCAACCGAGCAATTCAATTTTTACAAGAAAATGAAAACGGAAGGGTATCAGGCTCATACGTCGTATATGCTGGTCCATTTGAGTTTTTGGCTGTACTTGTAATTGATCCATGGATGATCTAGCAGCTGTTTGACTGTTATACGGTGTTGAGGATTCACCTATATCATTGAGGTATTCGGATCGCTAACATTCATTAGCAATTCTGAAGAGTTATACCTGTAACATACTGCGTAACAACGCTCGACTGCTCGGACTCAACCACTCCGGTTCAGCATAATTTCCTCTCTGAAATGAGGAAATCATGATAATGTCGCAAGTCAATGGGTTTACGAAAAGCTCTAGATACGATGGAACAGGAGAAATTGTTTTTGTTCTCTTCCGCTCAAATAATGATGTTATGATAAAACAGAACGTACCGCTATTTTGCGGTAAAGAAGTTGCATAGACTCGTCTTCAAACGGCAAAGAGCCGCAAAGGAGGGCATAAAGCAGCACACCCATAGACCAGATATCTGCTTCATTACCCAGATATGCCTTACCCTTAAAAACATCAATTCAAACAATGTATAAAACAGAAGGTCGGAAGATGTTTCTCGATTAGCTTAGAAATTTTAGCTCCGCAGCAAACGTGCAACCAACAGAAATGACAGCACATGAGCCAAGTGAATAAGGAATCAGTAAAAAAAAACTTCTGACTAACCGCGATAAGTTCAGGAGCAGCATAAGCAGGAGAACCACAGCAAGTGTCAAGTGGTCGTGACAAAGAGCATGGCTTTGCGCATAAACCAAAATCAATCACTTTAAGATGCAAATCTTCAGTCAAAAGCAGGTTCTCCTAGAAAAAGAGCAATACACGAACGTTATAAAAACCCATACATGTCAAATTTTTCATCGATACCATAGAGGAAAGTTCGAGAAGAAAACTTCGGAATGAATACCTGAGACGAGTTTTTGCAAAAAAGCGCCGAAATAACCCCCCCCCCCCCAAACTGCGAAGCATACGAAGAAATGTGCAGTAATTACAAGTGGCGAGCTATATTGTGAGTCAAACTTAGATATGAGATCGAAAAGCGAATTTAGTCAGCAGATCTCAAACTCAGATAATTCAAGGTGATTGCAGAAGGCGTGAAAGGAGCGGCGACGAAAAGATGGGATTTAGGAGGCGGCCATTCGGTGCGGTGGCAACGCCCGAAGGACTCCAGCTCGAAGCCATCTACAAGATGAAAGTCCCACTACGATTCTCTGTCTATCTTCTCCACGGCCTTCCCTACTCCGTACTCACTACAATCGGCCTAAAGCTACTACTGTATCAGTGTAGGGTGTACGAAAACCCGGTTTCAGAATTCCAGCTTGATCAGTGCAATCATCAGAGATCTAGGTCGGAACACCCAGGAGAGCACTATACAGCCCATTAATTGAGGGCACTCCATAACAAATATTAGCATGAATAGCAAAATGCTGGAATACTAGTGCAGAGATAGAGGTCATATCCAAAAAAGGAAAGGTGATGGCGACTGCAAGCTGTTATGAGTAGTTTGATCCGTTTTGAGGTTGATAAAAAGGAAGAATTTCATCATTCGTTCGCTCAAAATGACACACCGGTTTAAGGTCTCTGTGCGCGTAACCCATTGAGTGCACATATGCCATAGCCTGTACAAGCTGACGGAAGAAATGGCGAGCTTCAGATTCTTCAAGGCGCTCCTTCCGGACAATGTAGTCGAACATTTCGCCTCCACTGCAGTACTGAAAATGAGCCTACTCAATAAAAAAAAAATAATAATATCAACTATACTTAACAAATCTCCATGCATCATAACAAATCCAAAAAAGCATCCAAGAAATTAAGAAAATCGCCTCCATGATAATGAAGAATTTATCCTCAGTATCGATAAACTGATATAAGCGACAAATATTCTGATGTGATAGCGTTTTGAGAGCATCCAACTCGGTTGTAACTCGTGGTAGATCATCCTGAATTCAATTAAGTTGTACGAAGTTAAACGAAAGCTTATAGGAAGAAGAAGAATAAAACAGATATATTTCCGAAAGCTTACACGCAGATCGCCGTTTTGTCAAATAATTTAATGGCAACTTTTGAGACCAGTTTGTAAATGTGTTCGCTACTTGACCTTGAACCGAGCCGAAACGACTTGTAGTCAAAGGAAAGTAAGAGGGTATAAGAAGACAACTAGAAAGTCGACAGGAAAACAAGGTGTCAAAGGCAAAATCTGCATTGGGTACTCGTAAAAAATTGGCAATCAAACCACACCTCCTGAATCCGAGTGTCATTCGGTCGTACCGAATAAAGGCCCTCAAGTGCAGGGTACGACATCTAATAAGAACCCACGCACAAGTTGATACAGTCTGAAAGTATTTTGAGCAATAAAAATCTCGTTAGATGTTAAAGGCAAATGTCAGTCCATTCGCAATTGAACCGCACGATTCGCTAGCGAATGGTCGCAAAGTTTGGCGCCTGCCTTACAGAAACCACCGAGTTGTTCTGTCTTGAGAACTGAAGCTAGAAAATTCTAACTGATAGCTAGTTTAGCTTGCGAAGCATTTCAATGGAGAAAATGTTCCAATAAAATTAGCTCTTCGGAATTCTCAAATAGGGCATTTTGCAGAGAAATTGGAAAATTAAGTACTAACCGTTTACCCCAATTCCAAACCTGAATTTTTATTGCGTTTGTTTACCTCAAATCAACGTTATAAAGAAATTGGATACGCAACAAATTGTATATGCCACATTGCTTACGCTCAAGAAATCACCGTGTTACTTTTAGTAATTTTCATTTCTTGTAGCTTATCGTTAGGCTAGCACAGCTATAGACAAAGTATAGCAATAAAATAATCCTCAGTTCGATACAACAAATAATCAGACTCTCCTTGTGTTCAAGCAGGTTAGATTGTTCACCGAGAATCGTTCAGAGAAGTCTATAATGCTGAAAACAAGCTCCACCAATTTTTAATGCAAGACCTGATTCAATGTGAGTTCAATTTTGACTCATAATAAATCAAAGACGTTCTCAAAAATAGAACTCAGAACTAGTCGTCTCCCATAATATTCAGACACATCCAGATCTTGCTCAGAGAACAAAGTAATAGAAAGCTATTCACTATTCACCAACGAAGTGCAATTATTATAAAATGTATAGAAGAGTCACCAGTGACAACAGCAACCCAAGAATCATAACTTCCAGTACTTGAATACAATTAAGTGCAAAATACTGATTGAAACCAAGAGATAAAAACGGAAGATCTTAAGAGAATCTAACATCCGAGTTTTTCATTTGAAAACGCAACTTTCGCGCGTTTACATAATTGTCGATTGGAGCGCATCGACTTCGTGGCTTTTGAGGCGCATAAGGAAATCGCAAACCAGGGGCCATTTTTGCTTGCAGGATTTTGTTATTTATATGTCACTCCGAATCCATTGCAATGAGAAACATATGGTGTTGCAGTTCGTTTTATCTGCAATACTCCGATCTTTCTGTGGTGGAGGCAGTTCCTAGTTAAATGTAAAAGCGCATCCATACACTCCGGGGATTCCCTTCCGTGCAAGGAGGACTGCATACTAGAGATCATATAAAACCGCCGACTTTCCTTCTGAATGAGACTTATATCGAAGTGAAGGCAGCAATCAGAGCCGGCGCCCGAGGGCGGGTGGCGGCGAGCGCACCACAAAGGATTCAGCCCAAGCGCCATGCTATAAGCGGGTCCTATTCACATCCTAAAAATGAATAACATGGAACATGGCTCTATCCAAGAAGTTACGGGCAGTGAAACCTAAGAAAACCGCGTTTTCGGGAAAATGGCTTGAAGAATACCCCCCAAAAAAAGTAACAACGGGACTAATTTTTGAACTGCTGACTTTTCAGGAACGTTTTGGTGCTCGTTAGAAAGCTTGAATCCTGTAGTTTGTATACCGTTCAGCTTCCCAAATGAATGACTTTGAAGGAAGTTATGATCGTTTTGAAGGTCAAAAAAAGTCGCGGTTCCAAAAAAATAGTAACGCAAACCCCCAAAAAGTAACAACGGACTAATTTTTGAACTGCCGACTTTTCAGAAACGTTTTGGTGCGCGTAAGAAAGCTTGGATCCAGTAGTT